AAACTGGGGAATACCACTCCTGAACCACAACAACATCTAACATATATAACCTATTTATTTATATATATATGTATTTTATTAAACAAGCTTCCATTACCTGCTGCATTAGCATGATCACTGATTATTTTTTCAAAATCTTCTCTATCCCCAGTTGTTCTGTAAAGATCATAAAAATATAAATAAACCCCCTGAAAAATCAAGATAAACATGGTAAAAATAGTAAGAACTGAAGTTACCTACCCTGTGTTTAATGTGTACAGACCAAGTTTTGCTTTGGAAGTTTTTCCTTAATTCAAAATGGGGTTTTGGTAGGATCTTAGATTATCCTGTTAATTTCTGGTCAATTAAAGTTTTGGTGGTCTGAGCCCAAATTATGCATTCAGGCCAAATGCTATTGCCTGTCATTGCAACAGACCGGTTTTTTCCTTTGTTTTGTGGTTTTTTTCTTGAAGCCATAAGTATATTTCATCACATATTGTATAATATAATTGGAATTTATATTCAAGCATTTTTTTGGAATTAAATTGCTTTAAATTCAAAAGAGGTGAGAAAGTATTTCTGCTTTGAGAGGAAATATCAGTAACAATTATTAACTTCAAAATTACTTGTTCATTAGTAGTAATCCAGATTTTGTGACACAAAACTGCAGCTCCCTGAGTTCTCTGAGAACAATGAACATCAACCTGAATGTCTGACCCAAAATTATGAGAAGGACATGTAGCTTAGATTAAGCTCCACATAGGTTAATCAGCTCCTGATACATGTTTCTGAACTTCTTCACTTGAAATACCATAGATATATTTATATGCAAAAGCAATACAGACACTTAGATTTGTTTTACATTTGCATTATTGCATCATTCAGATTATCATAGCGATTTTTTGTTTTAAACTAATATTCCAGGAAGCAACACATAATTAAAGATAGGGAAAACATTCATAGCAAGAAGCCACTCAGCAATTGCAATGCACATCTGACCAGCTATCTTCAGTTCAGTCAATGCATGTAAAGTACTTTAAAAATATCAAGTATAATTTAATAGATACATGGCAATTATCTATTCTTATCATGGTGAGCAACAGCATAGTTTCCAACTTCATCATTTTTCTTCACTTTTGAAAGAAGATTTAAATTGAGTGGTTTATTTTTTCAGATGTATTCAATAAATTGAATCATAAGATGCTAAGAAATTCTCACTCCATACAAGGCTCAGATGATTAATACTGGCTTAGTACTAAGGAGTGCTGAAAATCGAGCTGAGTGGCTCAGAAAGAGAAACCAGAAGCCAAGTGAGCTCAGTCAAAAACATGTATGTCAGTATCTGTAGTGTATGATTGTTCACTGTATCAGAAGCCAAATTCTTTTGTATAATGCTAATTGTTTGTATTTAAAACTATTTCCCTGGGATCTTAGAAACACTGGGCTAGATCCATATACAACCATATCTTCCTTTCCATCTATGCCCAAGTAGTCTCTGAGTTCCTCCAAAACATTTGCTCATTTTAAACAAAGTCCTTGTCTGTTTCCCTGCACAAATGGCTAAACTTGCCCATTCAGTCAACTTCATGAGTGATATAAATATTTCTGAATATTTTAAAATAAACTAAATCATTACTAACTTACATTACATTAAATGTTACAAAGATAATTGAAAACAGATTCCAGAAGTCCTGATTACTAGTCACCACCCCAGTCCTTATGAACTGTCAGAAAAACATTTCTGCAGTGAGGTTAGTTACAATCCCATTACACTTACTAACATACCTGGTTTCTTTTATTCTGTGTTTTGCAAGTGTTCTCTGAAGTGCAACATTTAGCCTTTCATACTGGGGGGAAAAAATAGGTATGTTGGTTAAAATGTCCTTGCTGAAAATTTAATCATAAGAATAACATTTTTATACAGAGAAGAATTACTTTGCTGTCCTTGGGACTAACATCTTTTTTCAAGGTGGTATGATTGTCAGAAATAGCATGTCATTTCTGTGTGTGACATTTAGCTGATGTTGCTGCCTAGAGCTCCAGTACCACTATAATTAAGCTCCTTAGCTAATGTACACCAGTAGTAGTGTATTTTAAATATAGTGATGTTCTTTACCTCCAAGTGGTCAGATAGCAATACATGTAGGGCTGCTATGAAATAAGAATAACTAACCCGACTTTCTAACATAACACATATCCCCCAAAAAACCCACAGTACCATGGATGCGAAATGTTGAAAAAAATCTTTTCAGCTGAAAATATATTCTCCTAACAGAAAAAGCCACTTATATTCTGCATTATGCCCAGAGCAAAACAGTAAAAACTGAATCTTCTACCAAGTAACTTTTCTTGGAATATTAAAAGCCAAATTTTTTTCAGGACAATTTTCAGTATTGTCAAGATTTAAACTGCAAAAGGTAACAGTTTCAAATGCAGATATGAAGGACCATTACAGCTTTCTGTGCTTCAGGTTACCTGCTTTTATGTTTTCAAGACTATAGCACTTCAAGACAATGTTAGAACCATTATTTCAAAGAGAAAGAATCATTTTGGCTATGTATGCCACAAACCCAAATATCCTCCAGAGGAAAATCTAGTCACTGTAGATGAGGTTTGTAAAAGGATTCTGTAATAAAAGACCCTTTAGAGCATCATGAAGATTCACCTTAAATTACTTCAATCCCATGATTCCGCATCTTTTACCTAGTTCCTAATTGGAACAGACAACATTTTCCAAACATATTTCAAACTGTTAGGGCCAGTAAAGCTGTCTTATGTATATAGTCTCTGATATTCGAAACCCAAACTTCTCATAAAGACAGTGTCATAGAATAGCACTACACTACCATGACAGAATTTGGCTGTGAGGGTTCCTGTGCTCTGGCTTTCCTTTGGTTCTCAATTCCTGAAGAAACTAGCAGTTTTCACTGCATCTTTTACTTTTTGGATTTTCAAAAGGAAAGTTTGCACAGCCAAAGAAAATACCATGCAAAATAAAGGCAATGTATTTTGGAGACTTTTACCAAGCAAAAAACCCAAAGTGAATAACTGTTCTACCATGTGTATAAATACAACATAAATTACATCTGTGTATAAACTGATATAGTAAGTGGAATGCCATCCAATTCATTACTTATCTCTGAACAATGTTCTCTGTATTTCTGTAAACACTGAAAGAAGCAAATAAAACAACAAGCACTACACGATATCTCAAATTTAATCAAAAAGCTATTCTGGATGCACAATGTCCTGGACTTCCATGCACAGCTCGCTGTTTCCATGAGGACTTCATGAATCAATGGGGGTCATGATACAGTCCCCTGTTTTGGAGCTCCCAGTTGGAAGGAAGATAATGTTAGTCACTGGTGTTTAAGTAAGGTACTATAAAGTACCTAACCAAGGAAAAATACACTTTTAAACAAGAAAAACCCTTTTATGGAAAACTGGAATTAGGAAGATGCTTAGGTCTTGACCCCAAATCACTATGAGAACAGACTACTATACTTGGACAAAGTTCCATTGAATATGACTTGAATAACTGTAAATAGCAGCGACAATAACTTTGAACTTTAGTGGCTCCTAGGGTACATGATCATAATATCCTTGACTTTGCCAAGCTTTAGTCCCAGCTGATGAACTAGCCTATCATAATTATATAATAGGCAGCTGCATACTCTTTAAAGAGAAAAAAATACCAGTTATTTACTTAAAAATCCCAACAACAATTATATACTAGAAAAGGATGCTTTGCCAGTTCATTCTTGGGTTAAAAGTATTTTCCTTTATAAATTTAAAGATCAGCTGAAAGGTTTACAAATGCAGCAGAGGTAAAAAGGGGTTTGTCAAAAATCGATTGTCTAGAGGTTTAGCAAGTGAGTAATGGATGAAAACCTGCATAACCAGATCTGCAAATGGATTTAACAAAACACTTTAAGTAAAGTACCCTGAATGTCCAAGCAATGGAACTGTAAGTAAATAAATGTACCTGGAGTACTGTGTTCAGTTTTGAGCAAGTCCAGCAAAGGGCAACAAGGGTCATGAAAACTCTAGAACACATGTCTTACGAGGAACGGCTGAAGGAATTGGACTTATTTAGCCTTGAGAAGAGGTGGCTCAGGGCTGACCTCATTGCTCTCTGCAACTACCTGAAAGGGGGTTGTAGAAAGGCGGGGCTGGTCTTTTCTGCCATGCCTGCAGTGAGAGGACTAGAGGGAATGGCCTTAAGCTGAGACAGGGGAGATTCAGATTAGATATTAGAAAAGATTCTCACTGTTAGGGTGGTCAGATACTGGAATAGATTGCCCAGGGAGGTGGTGGAGTCACCATCCCTGGAAGTGTATAAGAGGTGCCTGGATCTGGCGCTGGAAGGTATGGTTTAGGGTTTAGGTGTTAGAGCAGAGTGGCAGGCTAATGGTTGGACTTGATGATCTTAGAGGTCTCCTCCAACCTCAATGATTATGTGATTCTACAGAATTGGCCTTTTGCCATTTTTCATCCCAATATGTATCAGTTAGTTCCTTCAAACTTTCCACAAAATTTAAGACAAGGCTAAGTGCTGAATGTTACGCAGCTGCATTTTTCATGTTCATTTTACAGACATAAACCATGGTATTCATCTCCACTCAAGCAAGCCTGCATTGTACTTGTTTTCAGTGAAGTTGAGCAGAGACGTAGGAATATCTTTGTGGTAAAAACATTATGAACAGTAATGTTTTTAAAAATAGTTTGACAGGAGGTTAGCATCATAGCAGATGGAAACAGCTATTTTAATTTTTTGTGATAATGACTAATGCTCTTAGCAGTATGGATTCAGTTAGGTGAATTGATGAGATGACCACATGATTTACATAATTAGGTAACAAGGCAGAGCTTCTATATTTGTATCTCTATGAAAAAAATGCAATTAAAAACATCAGTGGAAGGTTGAAAATACAAGGTAAAAGTATAGGGAAATACACTGGAAGGAATGGTGTGTACAAAACAGGCAAAATTGTATCCAGAAGTGAATGAAATGAGCACTTCAACTATGGAGAACTATGTAAGAACACAAACTCTGAAGTCAAAACAAGTTTCTAAAGGCTTATGTCTAAAGGCAGGCATAAAATGCTTTTTTAACATTTATAATTAAATGCTATTAAAGTTGTATTATAATACAGTATTTACCTCAGGAAAGATTAGTTTGCAGATACTTTCAGTTAGTGTGTGCAGGTACACTCTACTTCTGCTCGTTTTCCTTTGTGGAAGGTTTCCTTGGCCATCTTTTTCATGGACTTCTTTGCAGATCGGCAAAGCTGCTCTAGAACTGTTTTCTGTGCAATCCTTGTCATGTTCCTCAGCAATGTGACTTTGAGTCAGTAAGGAGAAAGGGCATTCCCCTGTGATCTTCAAGTCTTTCAGTTTTGTACAGAACATACTGTACGAAGTCTCTCTTGAGATTAAGAGTACTTGGCTTTGTGTTTAATAGTTCTCTTCTGTTTACTAACAAGAGCAGAAGATGCCAGAATAGTAAGTAGATAAGGCAACCACTGTGGAAGATTACTGGTAGCTATAAATCACCACAGGAAAAAGCATGTGCCCCTACAAAACAAGAAAGAAAAATGATTAAAAACATTTATTTTCGCTTTTAAATTGCTGTGATGTGCCAGTTTCATCATAAGTACATTTAAATAATGGCTTTCTGAGGACCTTGCTCAGGAAAACACTTAAACTCACGTGCCGTTTTAAGCATGTAATCCTTACTGACTTCAGTGCTTCAGGTAACTAAAGTTGTGTGCATGGTTAAGTTCTTGGATGAATTCAGACTCAAGTGATTAAGGCAGAGGACTTGTTTTATCTGATATATATATATATTTGGCCACATTGATGGATGAGGTTTCTGAAGGAGCATAATTGTAATTAGAAAACCTTTTTCATTCTTCATAACCAACTATTAAAAACTACCTGATATGGCACAATGAAACTGATTTGTTATGGATAGTTAAATCTAAATTCACTTGACGCCCAAGATATCCATTTTGTAGTAGAGCAACATATGACCAAAGTTAGTGTCTGCCTTCTTAAAGAGTAAACCATCCAATACCAAAGGTTAGTGTCTCATGTGAAAACAACTGACTGGTGACAACTAACCATGAGAATCTGACCACACACAGCTGAAGTTGCTTGGAAACACCAAGGGATTTATATGCTTTTTAAGGTGATATCTTCTGAATAACACATTAAAAAAAAGGGCTGCACTTTTCATTTTAGTAACGGTTCCCTGTTTGTTACAGGGCCAAAGCCCACCTAGAACTTAATCTGGCTACTACTGTAAAAGACAAGAAAAATGCTTTTACAAATATATCAGCAACATAAAGAGGGCTAAGGAGAATGTCCATTCTTTTTTGGATGCAGGTGGAAACATACTGACACGGGATGACAAAAAGGCTGAGGTACTTAGTAACTTCTTTGCCTCAGCCTTTAATAGCAAGAGTTGTCCTCAAGGTACCCAGGCCCTATGCTGGAAGAGAGGGATGGGGAGCAGAATGATGCTCCCATAATCCAGGAGAAAATGGTCAGTGACCTGGTACACAATTTAGACACACACAAGCCCATTAGGCTGAATTAGATCCATCCAAGGGTACGAAGGGAACTGGTAGAAGAGTTCACCAAGCCACTTTCCATCATTTACCAGCAGTCCTGGCTAATTGGGGAAGCTACAGTTGACTGGAGGTTAGCTAAGGCAGTGTCCATCTGCAAGAGGAGTCAGCAGGAGGATCCTGTCAGCCTGACCTCAGTGCCAGGGAAAGGTCATGGAACAGGTGCTTGAGTGTCAGCATGCAGCATGTGCAGGATAACCAGGGGATCAGGCCCAGCCAGAGTGGGTTCATGAAAGACAAGTCCTGCCTGAAAAACCTGATCTCCTTCTATGACAAGGTGATCTGATTGGTAGATGAGGGAAACAATGTTGTCTACACAGCCCTAAATAAAGCCTTTTACACCATTTTCCACAGAATTATCCTGGAGAAACTGGCTGCTCATGGCTGGAAGAGCACATTCTTTGCTGGGCAAAGAACTGTCTGGATGGCTGGGCCCAGCGAGTGGTGGTGAATGGAGTCAAATCCAGTTGGCAGCTGGTCACATGTGGTGCTCTCCAGTGGACCAGTGTTGGGGCCAGTCCTATTTCTTTATCTTTATAGACAACCTGGACAAGGGATGGAGTGCACCCTCAAGTCAGTTTGCAGGCAGCATCGAGTTAGGCAGGAGTGTTGATCTGCTGTATCACATCCCTCAGCTCTACAGAAGGATATAGACAGGCTGGATTGATGGGCTGTAGCCAATTGTATGAGGTTCAACAAGGCCAAGTGCCAGTACTGAATTTGGGTTACAACAGCACCATGCAATGCTACAGGT